ATTATTATTTTTATTATTCCAACCAGGTGTCGATGTAAGTTATTCTGTTAGTCCCTCTCTGCTCTGACCCTGAGAATCCAAATGTGGCTTTCGTTCCCAGCTTCCCTGAGAGCCCTGGAGACTTAGGAGACACAGCTGATTACATCTGTCCTAACTACAGGCATTTGGCCTGGTAACTTCTTAGTCTCATAGAGTAATTCCTTCTCGAGGTGTCTCAGTGATAGAATTCCCTGCTTCCGGCTATTATCCCGGGTCCGTTTACTTCCTGTTCAGTCACCGTCCATATCATTGGAAACTCTGTGTCTTGACGCTGTGCACATTTCAGCAGAGCGTCCGGATAGAAGATGCACTAGAAGATAGGCCTGATCCACTTTCAGGAAATAGGCCAAAGAAAAATGCTTGATTCCCAATCATGGAGTCCAGGCGGAAGAAGAGCTTTTTGGTCCATTGTGTGGAGGTTGGCCAGGAAGGAGTCAGGGGCCAGAGCAGTGACGGCTAAGAATGGCCTTACTCTAGGGAACTTGTTTAAGGTGACTCCTGTCTGTGTCTTGTTACAGTCTAATCTGTTAACTGAAGGGTGCACACCCACGAGCCACTCTGGGAGAGAAAGTAAAGATGTCCAGGCAGCCAGGGAGCGTGGCTGAAAGTGAGAACTGGCGTCAATAGCCAGGCATTTTGGTTACCTCACATTTCACCCTGTCTTAACCTGGTACTAAGGCTTTGTAGAGAGCGAGTATGTTTACTATCCCACACACATCCAGGGAAGTGGGCAGAGGAAGTACTTGCCAGGCAGAGGGTACAGTGGAGTACCACTCAGTGCTGGCTGCTGCTGGACCCCTGGCCCTCTTCCTTTCACCGGGCTGGTCTCTGAGCCAGTAGCTGCTTCTTGTGGCAGGACCCCCGAGATTACTGCACAGGTGGGGACTTCACAGCCTCTTAGATTGAATTCCTTGCAGTCTCAGCAGCACTGGGAGTTGTAGGTGAACAGCCTTGGGTTACCCAGGTTCTGTCCTGGCATGCCAACTTGCTTTGCTCAAAGATGCTTCTTCCCACATCTTTAGATTTCATAATGAAGGATCTCTGGCGGTACAGTGAATACAGTCTTGGGCTGCAACCCAAAAGGCTATTGGTTTGAATCTACCAGCTGAACAGGGGAAGAAAGACTGGCCCATCTCCTCTCATAAAGATTTAAATTTCGGAAACCCTGTGGAAGGTCATTAGGACTTGGATTCAGCAGCATCTGACGTAGTTTGGGATTTATCATAACTTGGGTTGAAGCAGCTAGTATGAAAGGCTCTGAGAGCAGAGGGCACCCAATCTGGTTTGGATAATACAAATGAAAGCATTTGATTTAGGAGTTGATACGCCCAGAAAAGAGTGAGGATGACCTTACAACCCTGTGATCAATGCTGTTGAATTCTAGAAATGGTGGGGTCGATGTATGTTTTGCTGTGTCTTCTGTTCGTTTAAAATCCTAATACTAGAGTAATAAAAAGACATTCCCATTTGAAATAAAAATTTGCTACTTTTAAAGCCTTTAATAAAATAAGCTAGAATGAAAACCCCAACTGCATGTAGTGTGATTTTGCTTCTGAGAATAAATTCTCAGACTGATGCCTTAAAGTTGAACCTGGGTTCTTTTGTGAATAAAGTTTGCTTCATTTTTCCTAAAGAAGGCTTATCACAGTCTGGTCGTACTTGTCTGTCAGAGTCACCATTTCGCCCTCCGGTTGTCACTAACCTGCTCTTTTATGGCTTTCTCGGCCTCATTTGTCTGGAGAGGGTGGTGGGTGTAAAATACTACCCTTTTGGCTACCAGTAGCCTGACAAAGTATTGGGCCACCAGGTAAAACAAAACCAAAAAAAATGGAGAAATGCAAACTTACTCAAAAAGGGGAGGGGAGAAGTAGAAGGGAGCTGCCAACCCAAAGGCAGATGGTTTGAATCCACCAAGGAGCAAGCTGGCTGCTCTCTTCCCATGTGATTGACAGCCTTCAGAAACCCAATGGGGCGTCAACTATGAGTTCCGACTGAACAGCTAAGAGCTTGAGTTCAATTCTGAGAATGATTAATAACAGGAGTGTGCCCTAAATGCACCTTGGCGGTGAAGGTGGAAGACTTCCCTTGAGTACTTTGGGCCTGTTGTCTGGAGGAGCTGAGCCCTGGAGAAAGGACATCACCATGCTTGGTCGAGAAGCAACAAAAAAGACGGATGATGAAATGAATCATAGTCAAGTAGCCTCAGGCAGGTACAACTAGAGATTGTGAGGATGGTGTGGGACTGGCCAGGGCTTGGTTCTGTGGACATGGGGGTCCTTAGGAGTTGGAGCCTACTCCTCACCTGGCCCTTAAAGACCACACCACACAACAGGTACCTCTTTCACACAATGTTGTTCCATAATCTACTTAGTAGAGGGTGAAGACTAGTCGCCTTGGAGGCAAGGATTTTGAGGCTTTTTCTCACATCATTTAACACGTAACCAGGAGGGACTAGTCTTTGGAGAAGGAGAAGGACATGTTTGGAAAGGTGGAGGGACAGGGTAGGAGAGGACGACCCTGGATGAGATGAATTGGAATGGTAACTAGGACGATGGGATTAGGCTCAGGATAGGGCAGTGTTCAGAGCTGTTGTACATAGGATCGGTAAGAGTGGCAGGCAACTCAAAGCACATAAATATACTACACCACGAAAATGTTTGCTTTTTAAATTTTCAGTTCATCTGCTAAAACATGCTATTTTTAAAGGAAGACAAAAATGAATGTGCATCTCCAAGATTCCATGAACACGTTTCCAACAAAGAGGTCAAAGAATTTCAAGAACTGAGCTGCAGGTGATTAGAAATGCTGAAATGGGTTTGCAAATACAGAAGTGGAAATTCACTACCCTGCAATAGTCAATTGCCTTCCCCTGGGAGGGAAAGGTTGGCATTTCTGTGGACAAGGCCCATCTGTACAGCCTGGAAAAGGTACAGGATTACAATGGCTGAAGGAGCCCTTGATGAAACTGAAGAACCAGCGAAGGCAAGTGACCTCCCCAAAGTCTCAAGCAGGCAGATGGTAGAG